CCTGCCTTCTGTCTCCCTGTCTCTCTCTGTCTGGCGAGCACACGCACCCTATAGCAAAAACCTCTCAAAAACAAAACAAAACAAAACCAAACCAAAAAACAGAAGAAACAAATTGCCTGGGAAATTTAAGAGGTAGTCTGTTTTTTAAATAGTATTTTATAAAAGTTAATTTAAGAATGAGTATTCTCACCTTAGAATAGTCGGTGAGTATTAAATACTATTTTATGATGCTTCAGAATTATGTTAATGATCTCAGAATGAATTTAAATAGGTGTTTGTTATGGCAGCACCCTACTTCCATGTACCAAAACTTGTTTTCTTTTGTGCAGCAATTACCACACAATTAGTGGCTGCAACAACATCCATTCATTATGTCATAGTCATGTAGGTCAGAAGTCTGAATGGTGTGGCCACCCCAAGATTTCCAGCTCTCATCCTAGAAACTATAAATATATAGCATCTTGATTGTGTTAAGTCATCTTCAAAGGGGATTCTGCTGAAGTAACTAAGGTTACTAATCAGCTGACTTTGAGTTCATCAAAAGGAGTTTATCTGGGTATCTAATCTAAATACGTGAGCCTATAAAAAGCAGTTTTATCTGGCTGATGATAAAAAAGGAGACTCCATGTGTAAATCTGGATTCAGTGAGCTCTTTTTTTTTTTTTTAAAGCCACCAGGTCTGGGATTTGAACCATGCAGTCGGCCATGTGAAAGCTTGTTTTTTTTGTTTTGTGGAGAGGTTTTTGTTATAAGGTGCGTACGCTTGCCAGAAAGACAGAAAGAGACAGAGAGACAGAAAGTGAAATCACCCCCTCAGGAGGGATGGCCATGCTACAATCCCTTCTCCTCCATTCTCCTCTCGGGATCTTGGGCACGCATGCACTTGTGCCCAGCGTGAGTTTAAGCCACTGGGTCCGGGACTCGAACTGCAGTTGACTACATCGGAGTCCAGTGACATAGCCATTATGTTAACTGCTGGTCCCATGATTCAGTGAGCTCTTAGGGCTGGAAGATAGGAGAATGGTATGAGAAGGAATTCAGTTGGCCTAGCAGCTGATCCCCCACTGGCCGCCTGCAAAGAAACCTGGCCCTCAGTCCTATAGATGCAGACTCTGGGAGAGTCCTGAGAGCAACCTGAAAACACCTGGAAGCACACACTTCCCCAGTCTCTAGAAATGAGCCCAGTCTGTACATCATTGGATTTTGGCCTGGGAGACCCCAAGCAGGAATCTAGTCAAACCTGTTCAGACTTCTGATCTACATGACTGTGAAATAATAAGTGGGCGTTATTGCAGCCACTGTGGTAAATGTATCTAACACAATCTAACATATGTATATGTAGTTTCGTTTTGAGTATAATTTTACAAATCGTCTCTGGACCTAGTTAATTCCTTGTATCTTACATCAAATAAGATGTGACATTTGGATTATTCTTTGCCTGACTGTTGGGCATTTAGGTTATTCCCAGGTTTACTCTACGAATACAGTGCTGCAGTGAACATATTTAATAAATACCTCCTTGCTAACTGTGTGAGTTCCCCTAGGAGTTTGCCCAGAAGTAGACCATCTGATAAGTGGGGCATGGACATTTTGAGTTTTATAAGGTACCTTTGTCAACAAATTGTACACTTCCACCCACACTGCATCAGTATTCTGTTTCCTACATCTGTGTCGATATTTCATTATTTATACCTTCAAAGAATATTTATGTCAACATCCATCCATCAACCCACCCACCCTCCTCTTGTCAAAACTCAAAAAAGATTGTGATAATGGAAAGTAAACTGTATGAATCTAAATTATAAGGAAGTTTTTTACAGTAGTTATAAAGTCATTTATAATATAATTCTTTTTTGAAAGGATTTTACTAAAGGACATGCATGCTCACCAGAAAGAGAGAGACTGAAAGACAGAAAGCAAGAAATCACCCCTCCAGGGGGGATGGCCATGCTACAATCCCTTTTCCTCCATTTTCTCAGGATCCTGGGTACACATGCACATGTGCCTGGCATGAGTTCAAGTCACTGGATCTGGGACTCTAAGCACAGTCAACTCTGTGAGAGTCCAGCGACATAGCCATTACTCCAACTGCTGGTCCCCCATTTAGGTTTTTCCTGTGAGTTACTGATTTTTTTTTTTCAAAGAATTATTTCTTTCATTCATTCATTCATTCATTCATTCATTTATTTAAATTTGACCAGAGAGGGACAGAGTGAGAGAGAGAGAGCAAAAATGAGAAAACAAGCCACCAGGTCCAGGACTCAAAACACGGTTGACCATGTGGGAATCTAGCCCTTTTAACCATCACTCCACCTGCTGGCCCCCAAATTACCTATATTCTGTGGATTCTTTTTTTTTTTTTTTTTTTTTTTTTTTTTGGAGAGAGATATTTTTACTATAGGGTGCATGCACTCGCTGGAGAGACAGACAGAGAAAGTGAGAAGTCTTCCCCCCTGGTGGTGGTGGGGGATAGCCACACCACAGTCCCTTCTCTTTCATTCTCCTCTTGGGATTATGGGCACGCATGCATATGTGCCCAGTGTGAATTTTAAGCCATAGGGTTCGATACTTGAACTGCAGTCGACCATGTGGGAGTCCAGTGACATAACGGTTATACCATCTGCTGCTTGCTTTCTGTTGATTTTTAATGATATGCTATAATTCTTTATGTGTTTGGATACTGATCTGTTCCTCTTTTGTGATCTGTACAAGGTCCTTTTCCTTGGGCCACCCAATCTCTCCCGACTTCCAAGGCAAGACTTTGCCTGGGGGTTAGGTCTCTTTTAGCCTCTCTGGTCTAATATACAAAGCTCGGAACCTTTGGGCCCTTAGGACCTCTTGCTGATTGCAGAGGGGCATGGAGAATTACCTTCACTGCCAACCACGTGCTTGCTTTCTTGGCAATTTCCCATTTGATCCCCAAGCATGTGGGATCTCTGTGGATCAGTCTGAGACAAGTCTTCTCCATGGTCGTTGCTGCCCTCTCACATATGCATGTGTGCTCCCTTGCCCATCTTGAGGGCACTGCTCCCCTTTACTGCTAATTTCCTTGCAATTAGGTCCTAATACAAGGGTTCCTTCTTGGTCTTCCCATGTCTTGACCACCTCTCTCCTGAAGACTGTGCTTGCATTGCCACCTCCATGATCAAAGATTACTCATTTTCAGCAGTTGGTGCTTCAGGCCTAGAAATGGGATTAGCTTTCTCCTACTTGCCCTTTGTAAAGGCCATTTTTGTTCCACCCTCATGCAGAAATTTTCCTCCTCCAAAATTGAAGCAGCTGTTATCTTTACATCTATGCTTTCTTATGGCTGGCCTTTTCTGACCAGCTTGGCACTCCCTCTTGTTCACTTAGTGCTGGCCTATCTTCCTCTCTCCTGATTTCTTGTTATCACCAGTGATTCAAATGTCACCCAGCAGTCTAATTTCAAAGTCCCTTATCTTCTTTAGCTCCCAGGATATGGTATGGATTCACTGTGGCAGAAACCTTTCCTTGTAGCCCCACTCTGCCCTTTGGCATCAGGGAGACTGTCCTGCTCTGAGAGTGCACACTCTGCTGCAGGACTCAGGCCATGCCTCTTCCTCTCCCTCCTTGATTGCTCTTTCACCATATTCCTCTAAAGTGCCAAGACCTGTTCCTCAGTCCTTCTCCTGCCTGTGAATCATACCCTCCCCCTCTATGGCTTCTCGTCCTTCTAGTGCCAGTTTTCCAGTATGTCCAAACTTAGACCAGCTCAGCTATCAATTCTCTCCATTCCTACAGTCAGAGAGGCTTGAGGCTTGCTCAGGCTTCTACGATTTCATCCTGCCTGGTCCTGAGCACTCCTTGGAGCATCTTCTATGTCCTTATCCACTTCCCATTCTTGAGCACTCTGTGTGGCTCTCATCACTTACCTTTTCCACCCCTTCTCTGCAGATGGGTTTCCTGGCAGGTGGCTTTACTTCTTCCAGTGCTACATGGAAAATTGAGCATGGGTAAGCTGATTCAACTTTCTTGCCTTCCTTGTTATACCTGTTTGCTCTGATCATCTTCTGTCAGGTGTCAGAGGAACATTTAGTTTTGTATGTGTCCGTGCCTGTGTGCATGTGTGCATGCATGTCTATGTGTAATCCTCCCACCTCTGCTTTTGATTAACTGTCCTCTGAGATTCTGCTCAATTACATGTCACCTCTGCTTCAGAATTTTCAGGTTCTCCCCGTCTGCTGGCTTTTATTTAGCCTTTTGCTCCCAGTTGTGCTGTGACAACCCTTCAGCAGGGCCTAGGGTTCACATCAGACCATTTATAAGCTTTTCTGGAATTTGGTGGCCTTGGGTTTAATATGACATGACACATGTTCCCAGACGAAGGGCTGGCTCATGATGCCCTGTTCTTTTTATTTTCCCTTGGGGTCCCTGTGGGCCCCATGGGTCAGTGGTATAAGTGACATGCTGCTGTTGTGTGGCCATGTAGCAATCTCTCAGCAGACCACATGGCAGTGAGTGGGACATGGTTGTGACTCAGTCTCTCTGAGATCTGCCAGTGGTGGACTCCAGGCCAGATAACTTGACCACTAGTTTACCTGCCCTTTTTTTTTTCTTTTTTTCTTTTTGGGAGGAGAGCAGGCCCTTGTTTTTGCTTTTCAAATCTAGAAACATCCCACATCTGGAGGCCAACTCACCAGCTGACACAGGAGGCCCCTGGGTGCTCTATGCTTCCAGAAGAATGACTGTGTAT